TGGATGAAACGCCGGGTGAAAGCTGGGGGCCACGTATTGAAACTGCTCACGACGGTGGATGTCTGGGTCGTCCTCCTCCCATCCATTTCTTATGAATAGCTCCTCCTACTCCTCCTCCTCCTTTCCTTCTCTTTTCCTCCTTCTCCTCCTTCTCCTCCTCCTCCTCTTCCTCCTCCTCGCGACAGCAGACAGGTTGGTGGGGTGTGCAGAGCTTATCGCCTGAGCGTCGCCGTCATTTAGGATCTTCAACGTTGAGTTGCCGAACGCTTACACGAATGGATTGTGTAGAGCACGTGGTTCTCGCTTCAGCGCCAGACATATTTCGGCTTGTCTTAACAAGATACACAGCAGTTGCACGGTTGGAGGGTGGTTTGTTTTAAACTCAATCTCGCTTTAGCGCCTCGCTCATTCGCCTTGACGCTTCCAACAGATACACGGACGCTGGGTGGCCCCTCATATTGTATGACGTTTGACGTATGGCCACACATCGAGTCTTGTTAGGCGTATTGCGGGCGGCTGTTTTTCAAAACGGGCGGGCTCTCGCTGAACACTTCCTCGACGAACTGTATGATCGTATGTATCTTCTTGCAGGTCTCACAGCTGGACGGATGGCCAGATCCTTTTCAAAGCGGAGGTCTCGCCTGAGCGGCAAGCCCGTGGGGCGCTCGTCAGGCAAGGAGGTGTTTCCCGTTTTGCAGAGGAGTGCTTGTGCATGTGGATGTATGTGTATATGTATTTGTATATACATCTGCATATGTATGTGTACATGCACATGTATCGGTACACATGTACATATATACGTGTACATCTATATATATACACATTTGCATGTGTATGCATATGTAGATGTACTTGTATCGATGTATGTATGTTTACATGCATGCGTGTATGTATGTATGTGCATATATCTATATAGGCGCGTCTATGCCTATGTATATACCGATGCCACGGTGACTATATATGTCTATGCCTATGTCTATGTATATGTATGTGCATGTATATATATGTATATATATGCATCGGTTCATGTATATGTGCATGCATGTGCATGTTCATGTGTATGTGTTTATGTCTACGTTTATGTTTACGTATGTGTATGTGCAGTTATCTATATTTGCATATGGGTAGGTATGCATCTATGCAGTTGTACATGCATATATGTATATGTGTGTATATGGACCTGTCTATGTGTATGTACATGTAGATGTTTGTGTATGCGTATATGCATATGCATGTGTGCAGATACATCTACACACACGCATCTGTATACATGTTTTCACATATAGTTATATTTATGCATGCATATGCCTATGGGTATGCAAGTATCTATGTTTTCTATACAAAGTAAGTGTAGCCATACCAGTACATACATTCGTACTTTTATAAGTACATATGCGTGCATACATCCATGCATGCGTGCACGCACGCACGTATGCAAGCATGCATGCATGCATGCATGCATGCATGTATGTATGTATGTATGTATGTATGTATGTATGTATGTATGTATGTATGTGTGTATGTATGTGCGTCTACATGTGTGTATGTACATATGTATATATGTATGCATGTAAGTACGTATGAACGTATACACACCACATGTTACCCATGTGCAGATAATGATACATATGTGTATATGCTACACTGTATATTGCGAACTTTTCACATGTTTGGGGGGTGGGGAGGACGGGCAGCGGGGCGAAAGCTTTCCCAGGGATGGAACAGGTCTACATGACGATGCTTACGGCTAGGACGCAACTCCTGGGAGGTCGAGCTCGGCATCGGCGTTGGTGTATCCGTGATCGAAAGCTGGCCTAATTTGGCGTCATCCTTCCCAGTTGCGCTCAATCCCGATGGATCCGACTCCGTCCTGGACTCGATCGGGCCTAATCCGGCTCACTGGTTCCGCAATCGGACTCAGTAGCTCATGCAGTGGCGTCGCTACAGTAAGGAACAGTTTGGGTTCGGAATGGGCTCGAGGTTCCTGAGGTCCTTCCATGGCTGCTCCTCTAGCCCTTGAGCCGTCCTCGTGCACGCATGCGCTTCTGGTACCAAAAAGGGGCTTCGTTCCTTCTTTCAGCGGCCCGACTGTGATCTTTCTTACGAAAACTCCAGTAACTGCCTCGCATTTCCTCGAACGGTGGGTGCACGAGCGCGGCCTGCCTTGCCCAGCAGCCGCGAGAGCCCTCCCTGCCCGCAGGCGTGCCACGACGAGGTCCAGTTCCCGAGCCGCATGCCGGACGACGAGAGGGACCTCATCGGCAGGCCGGCCGGGCGCAGGGCCAGCGTGGAGGGGGAAGTTCTCGGCCGGGGCTTTTTCACATTTTTCCTCCTCCTCCTCCTCCTCCTCCTCCTCCTCCTCCTCCCTGATGCGCCCCCACCTCCCCGCAGGACTTAGCCGTGGGAAGGTGGCATGACAGGTTTGTGGGTACCAGGCACCGCCCGACCTACCTCGAGGCAGGTAGCCAGTGGGTCGGGGCTCAGGAGACGGGGGTTGACGCAAGCGGGGGTCGGCTAGAGCGCTGGATCTTGCAGTATCCTGCAGAGCCAGGAGCGCTTGGGTGCAGGATCCTGCAAGGCCTGATTGATCCCGGTCTGGATTGACCCGGGTCAGTAGGTCCCCGAGAGGGGGGAGTTCCCAGCACGATCGAAACGGGCCCTGGCCCATTCGGGCACACATTCACATGGGTGAGGGGTTCGTGGCTCTGGTGCGTGGGCGCAAGATCCACGGATCGGGGGAAACGCCCCCCGAGGCCTGCAGCCAGTGCCGCCGGACTTGGCCGACGGAGCGCGCCGATCCTGTACGGAAGCGGGAGTCAAGGGCTCCCCCGAGGGCGCGAAGTTATTCGCGCTTCGCGCTTCGCGGTCCTCGTTCCTTCTCCCCCTCCTCCTCGTCCTCCTTTTCTCCCTTTGGGGGGGCGGCGCGAGAGCGCGAAGTTATTCGCGCTTCGCGCTTCGCGCAGCGCGAAGCGCGAACTTAGGAGCCCTTGGGGAGTGCGCTGATCCACGCGTCGCTGATCTCTGTCTGCGCTTCCTTGGCACGGGCTGGCTCTGCGGGCCCAGGCGGGGCATCGGTGTCGGAGTCGCCACGCAGCAGGGCCATGGCGCCGCGAGCAGGCAACCGCTCGCGCCTGCACGTGCGCCTGCCATATTGCGCAGGTCCTCATCGGAGTCCCATGTGCCCGCATGTTCCGCAAGCCTCTTTTCTTTGTGAAGGTATGGGGGCGAAGGCCAACCACAGCTCTTGCCCATTCTGACCTGGACTTGCTGGCTGGGTCACCACGGATATGGTTAGTTTGTGTCCAACGTTGCCTGCCCAGCAGCGGCTGCTGTCGGTTTTGGACCACGCTCACTGTTGGCCGCAGTGCATTTGCGTACCAAGAGCTGACGCTTTCCCATTGAAGGCGCCCACGTTGGGTCACCGCCGCCCCCTACCAGTTGAAAAAGCCTGTGCTGCGACATGGCGATCGAAAAATTGGCAACTCTACTGGACTGCGTATTCCCTCGGCCGTTGGCGAACACTGGGAAGAGCTTTGCTGGGGTTGTCTTAGAGCCCGTCTTGGGGGGTCCTTGTTTGGTCTTCTATGCCTTCTTGGACACCTTCTGAGGTCATCTTGGGCCTTCGTTGGGCCCTCTTTGGACCATCTAAGGGCGCCCTCAGGCAGTCAGGCGCCTGCGGGCGCCGTCTTGGAGCTTCTCTGGGCAGTTTCGGGGCCTTCTTGGAGTCGTTTAGTCCCGTGTTGGGGCTATATTGGCTGCTTTTGGGTCCGTCTTGGGCAGTCTTGGGGCCGTCTTGGGGCCGACTGCGGGTCCTTTTGGGGCCCTTGAGGGCTGTCTTGGGCTGCTCTTGGGGGCCATTTGGGTTTTCTTGGACGTTCGTAAGACAAGCCGATAATCCGAAAGTCACTGAACACATCTTGGGCATTGCAAGTTTTTTTGTCGTTCAGAAGCCCTCTTGGGAGCTTCTTTGAGGCCTCCTCGTGCGGCTTGGAGTTGTCTTGAGACCATTTTGGGCCGTCCTGGATCGTCTTGGCCCGTCCTGGGGGCCCTCCAGGGGCCATCCTAGGAGGCCACTGGGAGCCACTAGCCCTCTTAGAGACCCTCGCCTCTTGAGGTCCTCCTTCTCCAAGACGCTGTGAACGACCCTCCCCCGTGGGCTCTTCCGCAGGGCCGGCGGGACAGGCCGAAGGCCGCCGGGAACCTTTTGGAAGGGTCAGGATCTCTTGCAGTCTACCCGCGCAGTAGGGAATGGGCAACACTCCCAAGGGCAGATCCTGGGCCACTTTCGTCGGCCGCGCCCCGCTCGAAAAAGGGGGCGTGCGAGGCGCTCGCGTCCTCGGCCTTCAGGCTTCTCGTGCGGGCTCACTGTAGGCCTCGACGCGGGGAGGAGGAGGAGGAGGAGGAGGAGGAGGAGGAGGAGGAGGAGGAGGAGGAGGAGGAGGAGGGGGAGGAGAGGAGGAGGAGGAGGAGGAGGAGGGAGGGAGGAGGAGGAGGAGGAGGAGGAGGAGGAGGAGGAGGAGGAGGAGGAGGACCCCTCCGGCAGGCGGCGGGGACAGCGGATCCCCTGCCGTCGGCCCCTCCCGCCGTTCGTGACCGGGTCGTGGGGCTCAGCGGCCCGCGGGACGCTCTCTGCAGCCCTGGGGACCTCTCGGGGGCCTCCTGGGGTGGGGCCCTCTTGGAGGCCTCGGGGGGGCTTCTTGGCGGCGCCTTGGTCAGGAGCGAAAGAAGGACGTACACGTACATGAATCCACGTTGTTTTAGAGACTTCGCATTGCGCGAATACTCGAATCACGCGGCCGGTCTCGCAGGTCAAGGGGCCGTGTTCATGTACATAGCTGGGCGCGTACGTCCTTTGTGGGCTCCCTACTTGGGGATCAGCAGGCCGATTGGGCGGCTGGCCAGCATGGAACCGAAGTCCGAGTCTCACACCCTCGCCGATCAACGGTTCAGGCAACTCGATGGAAGGCGGGGGTGGGGTTCGAAATCGGTCGAAAGCGTGGCGAAATCCGAAGCCTACCCCTGGCTCCCATCGATTCAGGAGAATTGATGGTTGGTGGGGGTAGGTTTCGGGTGTCACCACCTGGTGGACGAGGGAGGATCTTGGCATCCTTTGTCTCTGTGTGGGCCTCCCGGGAGGCCTCCGTGGCCGCGGCTGCACAAGCCTGGTCGGTACGGCGGTGCCCTGGAGGGGTCTGGAGGCCGACTCCGAGGGAGACTGGCGGGCCGAGTCAGATCTCCGGGCGTCGCGAGGAACACGTCAAAGGCAGCAGCGTGGACTGTCGGAGGAGGAAGCGGTGCCGATACCGCTACCCCACTGTCGTCGCCACTGCTGGATTCGCCTCGAAGTATGGGTCAGAATGCACCCCCAGGAGAGGTCCAGGCAGTCCAGTCGAAGTCGATAGTAAGGATGGGGCAGTCCAGACGAAAATCGATGGTAAGGATGGGTAACCGTCCCAAGGGTACCCTTGCATCCTTGCCTCCTCGGTCAATCCTACAACCCTTGCGATGGCCAGCCCCGCTCGAAAAGCTTAGACAGGGGCGTCCAAGGGGCTTGCATCCTTATCGCGCATCCTCACTATCAGTTTTGATTGTAGCAGTATCTCGGCGGCAACCGAGGGGGGGAAGCGAGAAGGAGAAGGCCTTCTCGGAAGGCGGCGGGACTTCTCAGAAGCCCTCGCGCCTTCTGAGAAGTTTCCTGTGTCTTCGGGGACGGCTTCGAAACCTCCTCAGAGGGCCCGTGGACTTCCGAGCCTTCTGAGAAGGCCCGCCCCTGTTCACTTTCCCCCCTCGCTCGCGTACCCTTTTTTTCCCTCCAGATTAAGGGCTCCCCGCTGCGGTGCCCCCATGGAGTCCCGCCGGCCACCGTCAGAGGTCACTCGCAGCAGCAATGCGAGGACAGTGAGGATAGCTCCGCAGTCGGTGTTGGCACTGCAGTGGTCCCCGCGGAACTTGTGAGGGTTTTGCGCAAGCGTTCAGTGGAGGAAAACGTGCCCAGGCCGCTCCCCTCCCCTCGTTTTCCCTTGTTTGGGCCTCCTGGGAGGTCCTCGTCGCCACCGCTGGACTCGCCTCGGAATTCTGGTCAGAACGCACCGCGGGAGAGGTCTTGGGAGTACAGTCGGGGCCCTGAAGAAGGAACCCTTTTCGTTGGGCAGGGGCTCGGTGTTCGTTGATTGTTGTGCAATTTGCCTTAGGTTCCCCCAAGGTTTTCCATACGAAATCGAAGTTTAACTTTTGGGAAACAGGGACCTCGTTCCTTATTTAAGGTTCCTTAGGGCAACGCCCCGACTGTAGCGGAGGGATTTCAGTACCTTTTTGTATCCCAAAGCGTTGGTTGGATCTCGTGGTGGGCGGCCGGGTGCCCAGGCTCCGGGGTGCCTCGGTTCCATGGGTCCCTCTGCGGGGCCTTGGTGACAATGTTGCGTCGAGTCCAGCGGGCGGCCCGTTTCCGTAGAGGTTGGAGAGAATTGGTAGAGTAGATATACCTACGTATACACACGTATACATGTATATGAATCTGTATATGTATATGTATACGTATTTGTATGTGTAGATGCATATGTATATGTATATGTATTTGTATATGTATATGTATATGTATATGTATATGTATATGTATAGGTATGTATATATACACAAGTATCGTATACGTACGTGTAAGGGTATGTGTATGTGTATGTGTATGTGTATGTGTATGTGTATGTGTATGTGTATGTGTATGTGAATGTGTATGTGTATGTGTATGTGTACGTGTACGTGTATGTGTGTATGTATGCATACATGCATGTATGTATGTATGTCTGCATGCATGCACGTATGTATGTATGCATATATGTATGTATGTATGTATGCATGTATGCATGTACGTATGTATGTATGCATGCATGTATGTATGTATGTATGTATGTATGTATGTATGTATGTATGTATATACGTACGTATGTATGTATGCATATATACATGTATATTTATGTATATATATACGCATACACATATATTCACGTATCTCTGTGTATACACAAACACCCACGTGCGCATACACATTTGTACACACATGCATCGACACACATAGACATATATATATATATATACATATATATATATATATGTATACACTATGCTATACGGTATACGCTACTAAATGTGCGTATATTCAGGGGGAGGACATGCAGCGGGGCCAAGGCTTTCCAAGTTGGGATGGGGACAGGTCTATATAACGATGCTGATGGTTAGGGTGGAGCTCCTGAGAGGTCAAATTCGGCATCGGCGCTGGTATATCCGTGGTCGGAAGCCGACCCAATCTGGTAGAGTCCCGCTCCATTACGCACAATCCTCATACTCTGGGTTCTGCCCAATTCGACGCCATCCTGTTGAATCCCGCTAAGTCCTTGCGAAATCGGTGTAGTCCCCCGAGCCTGCCCAGTCTGGCTTGATGGCCCCTATAGTCGGTCGTAGTAGGCCCTCAATCGTTCTTGCGAAGACCTCCCAGATGACGATGCTGGTGGGCCCTCCTCCCTGATCCTCCTTTTCTTCCTCCTCCTCATCTTTATCCTCATTCTCCCCCTCCTCTTCCTCATACTTGTCTTCCTCCTCCTCCGCCTCCTCCTCCTCCTCCTCTCCCCGTCTTCTTCTTAATCTTTTTCCTTTTCCTCCTCCTCCTCCTTCTCCTATTCCTCCTCCTCCCTCCTCCCTCCTCCCTCCTCCCTTCTCCCTCCCCTCCTCCCTCCTCCCTCCTCCCTCCTCCCTCCTCCCTCCTCCCTCCTCCCTCCTCTTCTTCTTCTTCTTCTTCTTCTTGTTCTTCTTTTCCTTCAGCTTTTTCTTCTTCTTCTTCTTCTTCTTCTCCTCCTCCTCCTCCTTCTCCTACTCCTCCTCCCCGCCTGGAGCCAGGCTGATGACGAGGGAGCCGTCGAGGCGCCTGGGGAGCAGCGGGAGGCTCGGCGGGGCCTCGGAGGTGAAGGCGCATCCCTGGTTCCGGACGCCGCCCCGTCGCCCCTCTCGGGGCGGGAAAGGGGGGGGGGTGGCGCCAGCAGGATCCGTCGATCCTCGGCATTCGACGGCGGCGGGGACGACGAGGGCGGCGGCGGGGTCCGGCCATGACGATGATGATGATGATGATGATGATGATGATGATGATGATGATGATGATGATGATGATGATGATGATGATGATGATGATGATGATGATGATGATGATGATGATGATGATGGTGATGATGATGATGATGATGATGATGATGATGATGATGATGATGATGATGATGATGATGATGATGATGATGATGATGATGATGATGATGCTGATGATGATGATGATGATGATGATGATGATGATGATGATGATGATGATGATGATGATGATGATGATGATGATGATGGTGGTGGTGGTGGTGGTGGTGGTGATGATGATGATGATGATGATGATGATGCTGATGCTGATGATGATGATGATCATCATGATCATGATGATGATGATGATGATGATGATGATGATGATGATGGTGATGATGATGATGATGATGATGATGATGATGGTGGTGGTGGTGGTGGTGGTGGTGGTGATGATGAAGGAGGCGGATGAGGAGGAGGAAGAGGAGGATGAGGAGGAGGAGGAGGAGGAGGAGGAGGAGGAGGAGAAGACAGATGGTGATGCTCACCACCACCATCATCACGACGACGACGACGAAGACGACGACGACGACGGGGGGGGCCGACGACGGGGGCGACGGAGACGAGAACGGGGATGGCGACGGCGGCGCAGACCTGGCCCGCCACAGCCGGGGGAGCCGCATGCCTTGCCCCCCCCCGTGGGGGCACCTTTCGTAAGGGCGATCTCTCGAGGCCCAGACTCCCCTCGCGTCGTGAGAATCGAAGACGCCTGCGGCGAATCACCGCCGACCCCTGCCTTTTCGAATCGCCCATGTGGTCGAGCGTTGTGGCAAGAACTCTGCCAGGCTATCGGACCAAGTGTTCCCCCAGCTGTTGTGGAAACCCTTCGGGGAACACTTAGGGAAGGATGGTTGGGAAGGTCAGGAAGGAGGAGGAGGCGGAGGAGGAGGAGGAGGAGGTGGAGGCGGAGGCGGAGGCGGAGGAGGAGGAGGAGGAGGAGGAGGAGGAGGAGGAGGAGGAGGAGGAGGAGGAGGAGGAGGAGGAGGAGGAGGAGGAGGAGGAGGAGGAGGAGGATGTGGGGGCATCTTAAGAGCCTCTGGGAGCGCTCTTGGGGCCCCTGGGAGCTTTCTGGGAGCCTCTTGGAGGCATCCCAGGGGCCTCCTTGGGCCTCTTGGGGGCCTTTGGGGGCTTCTCGGGGGCATTTGCTCGTCTTAGGGCGTTCCTGGCCCGTCTGACGCCGTCTTAGGAGCCTCTCTGGACCGACTTGGGACCCCCTTTGGGGTGCTTCCAGGGCCGTCTTGGAGGCCATCTTGGGCGTCTTGGAGGCCTCTTGGGCCGTCTTGGGGGCCTCTTGGGGCCGTCTTGGGGGCCTCTTCGGCCGTTCTGGGGCCATCTTGGAGGCCGCTTGGGCGATCTTGGAGCGATCTTTGGGGGCTCTTGAGCCGTCTCGGGCCGTCGGAAGGCAGAAAGGGGAAAACGCAAAAATCCTTCAACCACCCAAGGACAATCAATGATAGTGGCCTCTTCAGGCCTTCCTGGAGGCTCTTGGGCCGTCTTGGCGGCCTCTTGGGGGCCTCTTGGGCCGTCTTGGGCCATCTTGGAGCCATCTTGGGCCGTTTTGGTAGCCTTCTGGCCCGTCTGACGCCGTCGGAATGCGTCATGGGAGCCTCTCTGGACCGACTTGGGGCCCTCTTGGGGTGCTTCCAGGGCCGTCTTGGAGGCCATCTTGGGCGCCTCGGAGGCCTCTTGGGCCGTCTTGGGGCCCTGGGGCCGTCTTCTGGGGCCATCTTGGAGGCCTCTTGGGCGATCTCGGAACGATCTTTGGTGGGGCCGTCGGAAGGCAGAAAAGGAATTTCGCTGCCGAGGAGACCCACATACTTATATTATGGCTGGGGTGATGATAGCTGAAGAGAAGCATGTGAGAACGATGTTGGTGGCCGTTGCCCCGCCGATACCGCAAGGACGACCGTCACGGATAGCGGCCGCGCTCAGGGACCACCCCGTGCGCACCCCCCGTGGTGTCGAGAAATCGCCACACCTGCTGTGCCTTGGACGACCGTCACGGATAGCGGCCGCGCTCAGGGACCACCCCGTGCGTACCCCGTGTGGTGTCGAGAAAACGCCACGCCTGCTGTGCCCTGGACGACCGTCACTGATAGCGGCCGCGCTCAGGGACCAACCCGTGCGCACCCCCTGTGGTGTGGAGAAATCGCCACGCCTGCTGTGCCCTGGACGACCGTCACGGATAGTGGCCGCGCTCAGGGACCACCCCGTGCGTACCCCGTGTGGTGTCGAGAAAACGCCACGCCTGCTGTGCCCTGGACGACCGTCACGGATAGCGGCCGCGCTCAAAGACCACCCCGTGCGCACCCCCTGTGGTGTGGAGAAATCGCCACGCCTGCTGTGCCCTGGACGACCGTCACGGATAGCGGCCGCGCTCAGGGACCACCCGTGCGCACCCCCTGTGGTGTCGAGAAATCGCCACGCGTGCTGTGCCCTGGACGACCGTCACGGATAGTGGCCGCGCTCAGGGACCACCCCGTGCGCACCCCTTGTGGTGTCGAGAAAACGCCACGCCGGTTGTGCCCTGGACGACCGTCACGGATCGCGGCCGCGCTCAGGGACCACCCCGTGCGCACCCCCTTTGGTGTCGAGGAAGTGCCACGCCTGCTAGGCCCTGCGTGCTGAGTTGTGCTGAGCTGTGCTGTACTGTGCTGTGCTGTGCCGAGTTGAGCTGTGCTGTGCTGTGCTGAGCTAAACTGAGCTGTGCTGTGCTGTGCTGTGTTGTGCTGTGCTGAGCTGTGCCCAGCTGCGCTGTGCAGAACTGTGCTGAGCAGTGCTGTGCTGTGCTGTGCTGTGCTGTGCTGTGCTGCTGTGCTGTGCTGTGCTGTGCTGTGCTGTGCTGTGCTGTGCTGTGCTGTGCTGTGCTGTGCTGTGCTGTGTGTGTGTGTGTGTGTGTGTGAGGTGTGTGCGGGTGTGTGGGTGTGTGCGGGTGTGAGACGCGGGTGCGGCACGGCAGGGAAGAAAAACACAACCCCACGAAACATGTGGGAACAAAAACGCAAAAATCCTTCAAGCGCCCAGGGACAATCAATGATGGAAGCCTCTTCGGGCCTTCCTGGAGGCTCTTGGGCCGCCTTGGGGCCTTTTTGGGGCCCTCTTGGGGGCCTCTTGGGCCGCCTTGGGCCATCTTGGAGCCAGCTTGGGCCGCTTTGGTGGCCTCCTGGCCCGTCTGACGCCGTCGGAATGCGTCATGGGAGCCTCTCTGGACCGACTTGGGGCCCTCTTGGGGTGCTTCCAGGGCCGTCTTGGAGGCCATCTTGGGCGCCTCGGAGGCCTCTTGGGCCGTCTTGGGGCCCTTTTGGGGCCGTCTTCTGGGGCCATGTTGGAGGCCCCTTGGGCGATCTTGGAGCGATCTTTGGCGGCTCATGGGCCGTCTCGGGCCGTCGGAAGGCAGGAAAGGAAAGACGCAACAATCCTTCAAGCAACCAAGGACAATCAATGATTGTGGCCTCTTCGGGATTGGGCCGTCTCGGGGCCTCTTGGGCCGTCTTGGGCCATCTTGGAGCCAGCTTGGGCCGTTTTGGTGGCCTCCTGGCCCGTCTGACGCCGTCGGAATGCGTCTTGGGAGCCTCTATGGACCGACTTGGGGCCCTCTTGGGGTGCTTCCAGGGCCGTCTTGGAGGCCATCTTGGGCGTCTCGGAGGCCTCTTGGGCCGTCCTGGGGCCCTCTTGGGGCCGTCTTCTGGGGCCTCTTCGGCCGTTCTGGGGCCATCTTGGAGGCCCCTCGGGCAATTTTCGGGCGATCTTTGGGGGCTCTTGGGCCGTCTCAGGCCGTCGGAATGCCGAACATAAGCAAATGGTAGAACCCTTCAAGCACCCAAGGACACTCAGCGATGCTGGCCTCTTCGGGCATTCCTGGAGGAGGAGAAGGAGGAAGGAATGAAGGAAGGACGGAATGACTGAATGACGGAAGGAACGAAATAATCAAGAAAGGAAGGAAGGAAGAACGGAGTAGGACGAGGACGAGGAAGAGGACGAGGACGAGGGCGACCACGACGACGACGCCCTCTTTGCAGGACTCTGGACTGGGACCGCGTGATCCAGAAGCGCTACCAGCCCCCACTGGTGCCCTCGTCGAGATGCCTGGACTACGTCTGCCCATCCTCCGAGGAGTGCCTGTTCGACGGCACGAGATCCCCTAACCCCCCTCCCTCCTGTCTCCTGCCCCTGGCCCCTGCTCGCCCCTGCTCGCCCCTGCCCTCGCTGGGAGGCGGGAGGAGGAGGGAGGAGGAGGGAGGAGGAGGAGGAGGAGGAGGAGGAGGAGGAGGAGGAGGAGGAGGAGGAGAAGCAGGAGGAGGACGTAGGAGGAGGAGGAGAAGGAAGAGGAGGAGGAGGAGGAGGAAGGAGAAGAATAATAAGAAGAAGAAGGACGAGGACGTAGGAGTATGTGTAGGAGGAGGAGGAGGAGGAGGAGAAGGAGCAGGAGGAGGAGGAGGAGGAGGAGGAGGAGGAGGGAGGAGGAGACGGAGGAGGACCCGTGCAAACCCAAGAGTCACCCACGATGTTGGAATAAACCCTCCCTCCCAGCTCCCTCTTCATTGGCCCCTACAAGGATTCTTTCCACCGATGGGACTGCCTCGTTGGAAGGCAGCCGTTTGAAGACCCTGAAGCATGTCAAAACATGTTCTCGGTATTCCAAAGCCACGGATCAACCTGACTGTTGCGTCGATCCCGAACGGTGCCAGAACGCCATTCCTGCTTCCAACGTCGCGAATCAACGGAATTGTTGCACCCTCATAATCCGAAATCCTTCCACACGCTATTTTTGGTATGCTGATCATGGGACACCGCGATACCCTTTCACATGTTAAACACGTATGTGCGCGGCGGTAAGGCGAGGGCCACATTTTGAAACGGAGCAACCGCCCCCAATCCGTGAAACTCTTGCATGTATTCAAGACGAATGTGCGCGGCGCTAAGGCGAGAGCCACCTTTTGACAACCATTCGCCCTCAACCCCCTGAAACTCTTGCACACTGTTCAAACGAATCTGCGCGGCGGTAAGGCGAGAGCCGCATTTTGAAAACCATTCGCCCTCCATCCGTGAAACTCTCGCAAATTTGTAAAGTGAATCTGCGCGGCGTAAGGAAAACGAATGGGGGAGGAGGAGGAGGAGCAGGGAGGGAGGGATGGATGGATGGAGGAAGGGAGGGAGGAGGAGGAGGACGTAGTAGTAGTAGTAGTAGTAGTAGTAGTAGTAGTAGTAGTAGTAGTAGTAGTTAGTAGTAGTAGTTAGTAGTAGTAGTAGTAGTAGTAGTAGTAGTAGTAGTAGTAGTAGTAGTAGTAGTAGTAGTAGTAGTAGTAGTAGTAGTAGTAGTAGTGTAGTAGTAGTAGAGGAGGAGGAGGAGGAGGAGGAGGAGGAGGAGGAGGAGGAGGAGGGAGGGGGGAGGGAGGGAGGAGGAGGGAGGGAGGGAGGGAGGGTGGGAGGGAGGAGAGGGAGGAGGAGGAGACGGAGGAGGAGGGGGAGGAGGAGGAGGAGGAGGAGGAGGAGGAGGAGGAGGAGGAGGAGGAGGAGAAGGAGAGGAGGAGGAGGAGGAGGAGGAGGAGGAGGAGGAGGAGGAGGAGGAGGAGGAGGAGGAGGAGGAGGAGGAGGAGGAGGAGGAGGAGGAGGGGGAGGAGGGCGAGGAGGGGGAGGAGGAGGTCCGCAGAGGTGCCCCGAGGTCCCCGAGATCTCCACTGACCTCTAGGGCCCTCCCGAGGCCACTTGAGGCTTCTGAAGGCCCCACAGGGAGTCAACACGCACAGTCGAACGGAGGTATGAAATCGAGGTCGGTTCGGGGAGGGTACCCTAATGTCCTTCGTACTTATTCGATGTTCTCGTGCGTCCTGGGGGGACGCCCTCGAATGTTCCCCAGTTTGGCCGGCGGAGGGTCTCATGTTCTTGAAGGCTGTTCTTCTTTCCTAGGTCCGGTTATACACGAGAACAGATCCCGTTTCTCTTCAAACGCCCAAGCCCGAGGAGGGATGGGAACTTAATTATGGCATCCACTGAAGATCGGAGCCGCACGAGAGTGGCAATCTATAGGATTCGTGCCCCAGGAGAAGCCCACTCTATAGGAACACGCGGGAACTAAAAATGCAAATTGTAGGGACATGCGTAACACACCACGGATTGGTGCCCCAGGAGAAGCCTCATCTACAGGAGCATACGTAAGACACATAGGATTGGAGCAACTCCTGTGGCCTCCTGGGGGGTTTCCTGGGGCTTCCTGGAGCAGCTTGGGGCCTCCTGCGGCCTCCTGAGGCCTCCTTGGGCCTCCTCCGGCGTCCTGGGGCGGCCTCCTCTGGCGTCCTGGGGTCTTCTGGGGCCTCCTGGGGCCTCCTGGAATCTTTCGGGCCTCCTGGAGCCTCCTTGGGCCTCTTGCGACTTCCTGGGGTTTCCTGGCGCCTCCCAGGGCCTCCTGGGGCCTCCTGGGGCCTCCTGGGGAGGATTCGTTCCCCAGGGAGGCGCAATCTGTAGGACCAGACGAAAAACACACAGGATTGGAGCCATAGGAGAGGGGCACTCTATAGGAACATACGTAAACCATTAAGGACTCGCGCCCCAGGAGAGGCCCAATCTATAGGAACATACGTAAAATGCATAGGATTGGAACCACATCCGCTCGACACATCCTCACAATTTGGCCCTCCTGGGATGAGACAACCAGCGCCTCGCCCGAGGCATCTTCAACATCTGCTCTGAAAGCGGAGGATGCTGGGGCGGTCAAACAGGCAAGCCGTTCGATACCTCCCCGCAGTCTGAGCCCCTGGCGGTGCTGAAATCAGCGCTTCACCGGAGACATCCTTATAATCTGTTTTGAACGCAGACGAGTCTGGCCACCGAAACATACCGACCGCCCGAGACATCCTCGCACTCTGGCCACTCTTGGGTGCGAAAACCAGCGCCTCGCCCGAGACATCCTCAACATCTGGTCCGAACGCAGAGGATATTGGGCACGCAAACAGGCAAACCGCTCAAGCCATTCCCGCAATCTGGGCATCACTGGGCCCGTGACCCCTTCTGGCCCTCCCCCCCCTTGGGGATGCGAAAACCAGCGCCTCGCCCGAGACATCCTCAACATCTGTTCCGAAAGCAGAGGATGTTGGGGCATCATCATCATCATCCTCATCCTCATCATCATCATAATCATCCTCATCCTCATCCTCATCCTCATCCTCATCCTCATCATCGTCGTCATCGTCATCATCATCAGCATCATTATCATCATCAGCAGCATCGCCACCATCATCATCATCACCACCATCATCATCATCAGCATCATCACCATCATCACCATCATCATCATCATCATCATCATCATCCCAATCGTCACCATCGTCATCATCATCAGCATCAGCAGCATCAGCATCACCACCACCATCATCATCATCACAAAAACATTAGCATCAGCATCAGCATCAGTATCATCATTAGTATCGTCATCACCATAATAAGTATGCACTGCGTGGAGCTCCCCACATGTGCACCTAGTTTCCTGGCATTTTCCGCTGCGAGTGTCAGGGTACGAGCGACTATGCGTATGAGTGGGCTGAGTATGAGAGTCTGAGTGCAGGTGAGCCTGAGTGCGAGCGAGTTTTAGTGTGAGAGAGGTTATGCGTATGAGTATGAGTATGACTAAGCTTAGTGTAGGTGCATCTAGCCTGTGTGATCTGAGCATTATGTAATGTATGTATGTATGCATGCATGCATGCATGTCTGTCTGTCTGTCTGTCTGTCTGTCTGTCTGTCTGTCTGTCTGTGTGTGTATGTATGTATGTATGTATGTATGTATGTATGTATGTATGTATGCATACATGCATGTATGTGTGTATGTATGCATGCATATAGGTATGTATGTATGTATGTATGTATGTATGTATGTATGTATGTATGTATGTATGTATGTATGTATGTATATTTGTATGTATATATGTACGTATGTATGTACGCAAGTATGCATGTATGTATGCAGGCATGCATGTATGTATGTATGTATGTATGTATGTATGTATGTATGTAGGTATGTAGGTGTGTATGTATGTATGTATGTACGGATGTACGGATGTATGTATGCATGTATGCATGTATGCAGGCATGCATGTATGCATGTATGTATGCATGTATGCATGTATGCATGTATGCATGTATGCATGTATGCATGCATCCCGGTATGCATGTATGCATGTATGTATGCATGCATGCACGCATGCATGTCTGTCTGTCTGTCTGTATGTATGTATGTATGTATGTATGTATATGCGTGTGCGTGTATGCACGTATGCATGTACGTATGTATGTATGTATGCATGTATACATGCATGCATGCATGTATGTATGTATGCATGCATGCATGTATGTATACATGTATGTATGCATGCATGCATGTATGCATGCATGTTTGTATGCATGCATGTATGTATGCATGTATGTAGGTATGTGTGTGTATGTATGTATGTATGTATGTATGTATGCATGTATGTATGTATGTATGTATGTATGTATGTATGTATGTATGTATGTATGTATGTATGTATGTATGTATATGTATGTATGTATGTATGTATGTATGTATGTATGTATGTATGTATGTATGTATGTATGTATGTATGTATGCACGTATGTATGCATGTATGTAGCTATGCATGTATGTATATATGCATGCATGTATGTATGCATGCATGCATGCATGTATGTCTGTATATATGTACGTTTGCATGCATGTAGGTATGTATGCATGTATGTATGCATGCATGTATGTATCTATGTATGTCTGTCTGTCTATACATGTAGATCGAAGTCGGGAGGAGGAGGCCGAGGAGGGGCTGTGTCCATCGAATGGAACGAGGCAGCCCCCCCATCGCCATCCCTATTTCAGGGCGGAGGCGCGGTCACGGAGCATCACCCCGCGCCCCTCCCCCTAGTCCTGGGCTCTTGGATATTTTCAACTCGCCCCCGCTCCGCGAATCTTATTTTGGGGGTCCAGACTCCCACTCTGCAGTGGGGTTCGCGGAGCCGCACCCCCCCCCCCTAGGTGCTTGAAATCTTCGCGCCAGCAGCGGAGCGGCACCCAGGAGAGCGAATCGATCGTCGTCGTCGTCGTCGTCGTCGTCGTCGTCGTCGTCGTCGTCGT